TCATGCACATCTCCAATATCCAAGTCTAAATTCTTATCAAAGTCCAAAACTCAAATATAAGTGGACTTCTTGACAGATATCTTTCACCACCTAGGAGCAACCACCTAAATTTCAGAATAATTATTTCACACTAAAAGCCTACTTCAGGCTATGAAACCCCAGTCACGAAGGGATGACAAATTTCATATCAGAGTGCAATTCTTGGGGTAGATGTTGTGGCACAGCAGGTTAAGCCATGGCTTCGGACTCACACCCCATTTCAGAGTGCCAGTGCAAGTTCCTGGCCACTCCACTTTCTGAACCAGCTTCCTGCTAATGTGATCCTGTGGAGGCAGCAGATGATGGCTCAAGTACTTGGATCCCTGCCGCCTACACAGGACACCCAAATGGAGTCCCCAGCTCCTGGCTTCAGCCTGGCCCAGGCCTGATTGCTACAGACATTTGGGGAGTAAACCAGTGAACCCAGAAGATATTCTCTCTCTCTTTCTCCCTCCCTCCCTCTCTGGCACTCTGTCTTTCAAATAGATGAAAATAAAACTATTTTTTTTAAAGAACAGGATTCACAATCATCTATATGCAGTATCATATCAACATGAACTGATGTACTTTGCAATTTATATACCAAGTCTTAAACCAATTATCAATACAATTTGAGGTTAATTAACTCCAAAAGAGCTCTACTCCACATCTGAGGTTTTTCATGATTTGTAATCATTTTCATAAATATGGCAACAACCTAAATGTCTAATTGGAAGATACCTTCCCTTCATAGCCCATAAAGATTTATAATTTTGTACTTCGTGTAAAAAATTACTTAGGAATTACTAAGTAATGTAAAGCACTTAGTCATAAGTGCAAGATTAACACTGAAAGGATAATAAAAAAAAAAGAGCTATTAGATTCTGACTCCTCTTGTCTGATTAAAACTGTTAGCAACTCTTTAACAAACTTAAATGTCCCCGCGGGCCCTTCCTTCAAACAGCTACACACTCCCTTAACTCCCACACCGGAGTTGCTCATTCCGCCCTGTGCTCCCACAGCACACATACCTCCCTCCTGACACCGGTTATATGATACAGTTATTTACTTTCAGGCCTGTGTCTCCCACTAGACTTGAATTTCACAAGAGCAAAGGACTTTCCTCAATCTTTTCCATCTCAGCATAAATATTCAAATGTCACGTCAATAATATCCTAATTAAATAAATAAATGAAGCCTATGAAAGTGTGCTTTGTCGCGGAGGGAGTATACTTGTTCTGAGTTTACTGAGGGAGGAGGAGTTGAATTTAAAATATCCATGTTGAGATTATCTGTGATTAAGTCAAATCATGCAAAGAGGCCAGAGCTGTGGCATAGCAGGTTAAGTCGGTTCAAGTCCCTGCTACTCCATCTCTGATCCAGCTCCCTGCTTACGTTCCTGGGAGAGCAGTGGAAGATGGCCCAACTTCTTGGGTTCCCATGTGGGAGACCTGGATTATGTTCCAAGCTCCTGGCTCCCACCTGGACCAGCCCAAGCTGGTCACTGCTGCCACTGGAGAGTGAACCGGCTGATGGAAGACCTCTGTGTCTCTCTCTGTAACTTTGCTTTTCAAATAAAATAAATCTTTAAAAAAAAAAAAAAACTCAACATGTAACCATAAAGCTCACAGTACCTCAAGAATTTTTTTTAATTTATTTTTATTTTATTTTATTTTTTGACAGGCAGAGTGGACAGTGAGAGAGAGAGACAGAGAGAAAGGTCTTCCTTTGCCGTTGGTTCACCCTCCAATGGCTGCCGCGGCCGGCGCGCTGCGACCGGCGCACCGCGCTGATCCGATGGCAGGAGCCAGGTACTTATCCTGGTCTCCCATGGGGTGCAGGGCCCAAGTACTTGGGCCATCCTCCACTGCACTCCCGGGCCACAGCAGAGAGCTGGCCTGGAAGAGGGGCAACCGGGACAGAATCCGGCGCCCCGACCGGGACTAGAACCCGGTGTGCCGGCGCCGCAAGGCGGAGGATTAGCCTAGTGAGCCGCGGCACCGACCCAGTACCTCAAGATTTTAAGCTTCTGCAGAATGTAGCCAAAGTTCCATTAACAGTATACAGCCACGGGAACCTTCCTTGTAAGGGACCCTAAAAGGATTTCAAATCTCCATTCATTCCGCTCTAACAGCTCCAATTGACTTTCCTAGAAATAACTGACTGACCACAGGAACAAGGCCCTCCACGTCCGGCTGACCCATCTGTTCCCAGTCCCAGTGATGTCAGCCACAGCCATCAACTTTTCATTTTCAATTTCTCAGGGGAAGTTTCATTCTCCTACGAAGCACTGGAGCTTCCCAGTCCACACACCTCCACCAGGAAAAGAGAGGGGCAAGGAAATGATCCACTTAACACCAAATAATCCTTGAAACAAACACCCAATCAATGTTAAGTAATCACCGTGGTGGTCCTAAGTACCTAAACTTCCTTTACAATATTGCTTAATAACAAAATGCTCAGAATTCTAAATAAGCACCTCACCACGTAACTTTTAGGATTGCAGTTCCTACGCTGAGGACTACTTATGGTTTTGTGGTACCATGAAACAGGTGATCTGCTCAACTGCAATATTTAAATTCTCACGTATAAATAAGTCAGCACGTAAACTTGTCAAATCTAGGTATGCAGAATCTTCACTGAGAGTCTATGCAATACACACCTGGGTCCCTCGCCCTAGGCTCTACCTACTGAATAACCTAGAAAGGAACTTTACACATTACAATCACTTGGAGAAGACTTGCTGGAGGAGAAACAAAGTTAGGTGTGTCACAAAGTTAGGTCATTAATAGGTGCATATTACTTGTTACAGCCCCAAAAGTGCCTCTAGTGTATCTTACAAGAGACAGGCACGTTGGGAGGGAGTAGTTTTACAGCTGATCTCCACAAGCAGCACACCAACACACGGGAGCACTGACAGTCCTCCAGTAGTGATTAGCGCTGCAGGGGAAGAGCCCCTGCCGAAGCAGGCTGGGAGGTGGGAGGAGATAAGGCAAGTGAGTGTCACACTGCCCTCTCAGATACTTTTTGGGGAAAAAAAAAAAAACTTTTGGAACTGATAACTAGTGGTCCATCACATTGCAGATTACAGAATATAAAGATCCCACCTAAGCAGACATTTGAGCATGTATTTAGATATGTGCCCAAGAATGCATTTATAAATGGTATTTGGTCTATATTATACAGTACTATAGAAATATATGATTTTCGGGGCTGGAGCTGTGGCATAGTGGGTAAAGCCACCACCTGCAGTGCTGGCATCCCATATGGGTGCCGGTTCGAGTTCCAGCTGCTCCACTTCCAATCCAGCTCTCTGCTATGGCCTGGGAAAGCAGAAGATGGCCCAAGTCCTTGGGCCCCTGCACCCACGTAGGAGACCTGGAAGAAGCTCCTGGCTCCTGGCTTTGGATTGGTGCAGCTCCGGACATTGTGGCCATCTGGGGAGTGAACCAGAGGATGGAAGACTCTCTCTCTCTCTCTCTCCCATCCTCCCTCCCTCTGCTTCTCTGTAACTTTGCCTTTCAAATAAATAAATAAACCTTTTTTTAAAAAAAAGTACATGACTTTCAATTCTGAAAAACTATTTTCCACTACAAAAATATGTAAAACTATTCATATTTGCAATAGGAAATTTTTGCTGAGCTGAGCAGGAAATTTTCAACAGATTGCTATTCCCTTTGTAAATCTTAAATTTCAAACAAAATGTCTGAATAAACCAGAGCTCCAACTAGTTTGTTCCAAGTACTTACATACCTCAGGGCTCTTCCTCCCTACTAAAATATCTGTATCACAAGGTACTGACAAACACAGCTAATGCCAAGTAGGAGCTGTTTTTCTAAATCTACTGTTTTTCCAATAACCACCTTATTGCTGTGGTTATTCTAGAAGTTTAATAAAAATCTAAAGAGTACTACAGCACTGAAATAGTTCTAACTCATATCTTAATATAAAGTCTCTTCCTTACTTAAACACATAGTGTTAAGCTGAGAAAGCAAAGTTGTCTTCCATGGGATCCATGTTTAAAATTACCTGACACAACAAACATTTCCCAACCTAAAATCCAAGCCTCTTCATTATATAAACAAAAAGTTTAATAATTGAACTGTATTTATCCAGTACATTTATACAATTAAAACCATAAAGACTTCACTTTCATATACTCTACATGAAATTTCCCTTATTTTCTATACTACTCCAAGATTTCTTAATTACCGACCATGTCCTTTCAAATGTGACTCTAAGCACAGATGGAGCTGTACAGCTGTCTGTATTTTATTATTTTTGCAATATTCCAATGTAACACAGGATGGAAAACACTATCCCAGTGATTTACATTTGGCCCTATGAACAGAATAAAAAGGTGCACCAAGCTGTGGGGGTGAGGGATGGAGGGTGGAACGATTGTTCTCTTCCAAATTAATTTCCCAGTGTCCTATATAGAGGAAGAAATAAAAGAGAGGTGACAGAAGAAATGAATCTACCACTCAAAACTCTGCTCCTTGAAACAAATACAGTAGTCTTGAAAGTATAAGTTGTATAGGGGTCACACATTATTTTCAAGAAAATATTTCTCTTCAACAATGTGCAAATTTCTGGCCCAAGTGTTAGTAAAATAAAATTTTAGCCTAATAAGCAATAAAGGCACTAAAAAGGGTTGTAATCCTTCTTTATTTTTTTTAATGTACCTCACATTCATAGTCTCAGGTTGGTTAACGACTTTACATCCAAAATGATCCCTGTCCCATGTCTGCGAATTCTCATGTCTCTTGATAGTTCTGCATTCTTTACTAATTAACCGAGCCTCATTAGGTAGACACTAATAATGCTTCAGTCAGGAGACACACACAACCTCAGAATTCAAGAATGCAATCTATTAAAAGAGACTCATCTTATTCGTAAGTTGAGGAGCTGCGCAGGGAGAAGGGGGAAAAAACGGCACGAAAGCTGCTGGTCAGAGCAGCTGCGCCCAGCTGTGCACTTACTGGTTTGCTAGGGTACACGTTAGATAGATGCGTTTTTAGTTTCCCCACGGTCCAGTTCAAGAAGCAGCTAATAGTCTGGTCACTGTATTTCTGATTCGGTGCTTTAATGATGAGGGTCACAGGAATCTCCATCCCACTTTGGTCCATGGTGTCCCCAAGGACGGAGAGACACAAGTGGGGCTGCCGTAAGCCCAAACTGAGCCGAGGTGGTTACCGCCGGCGCGGCTGGGATGGGGACGGAAGTGAGTTCTTAATATTCCGTGTTCAAGTCAGTCACAAGTGCATCGGGCGATACGAAGGCCATTGCCGGTACCCAGGATGGACAGCGGCGCTCGCGGCGGCGGCGGCGGCGAGGTCTGGGTGCCGGGCCGTCAGTGCAGCTCTCCCGGCCAAGTCCGGGCTCCGCCTGGCTCCGGACTGCGGAGGGGGGCGGGGCGGAGACAGAGAAAGCGATGACAAGGGTGTGCCCGAGGGGTGAGGGCACGAGGCCGGGGTCACTGCCCCGCCCTCGCCGCGACCCCCAAGCTGAAACGCAACAAGGCCGCTACGCGACCGCACCGCCGCACGGGCCGGGAAAGAGAGTAAGAGGCTTAGGGCCGCCAGCCGAAGGAGGGGTACCTGAGACAAGGCCGCGGGGCCCGCCACCGCCGCCCTCCGCGCCCGGGCACAGCCGCGGGCCGCACAGTCCAGCCGGGCTTTTCCGCGGCGGCCGCTCCCTTCCTGCTGCTCCCAGGAGGCGGCCACGGACCGGCCCCGGGTCTCGCGAGGCGCCGCAGCCGGCAGTCAGAGAAGTTGGCCGAAGGGCGCGGCCACCTCACCGGCCGTGTTGCGCAGCGCAGGGCAGGACCAAATGCAGCCAAGGTGGCGACAGGTGACACCGGGGCGGGCAGCGAAGCAGCGGCGCCGGCAGCGGGGGAGCTGGTTTTGTTGTTGTTGTGAGAAGGGTCTCGGTCCCCTTTAAGCAGGAAGGCGCAGGCGGAAGTGCGTCACACGCGGTCCGCCCGGGCTCGTGGGCGCCGCCGCCAGCCGAGCTTTGGCCGTCCCGGGCTCAACTCGGAGTTACCCCGAGCCTCGTCGAACACTGGGGGAACCTGCACGGCCTGGCGGGTAGCTAGGCCGACGCACCTGCTGGCGGCAGTATATCCTGTGCTGACCAACCCCGAAAACCTGGGAACGTGTTTCTCCTTCCCAAGAGAGGTGCCTGCGAGTGGTCGTGATCTTTTTGACGCGGAATCAAACTTGGGCGCAAAATGTTTTTGAGTGTAGACTAGAATCTGGAAGCACGGTGCCGGGAGCTTGGCGGGGGCGAGGCCATGGAAGGCATGCAGGGCTTTCAGCTCAAAGCTGATGTTGGGACCCTGGCTAACCTCTCTCAACTCCGGCTGCTTCTCTGACTGGTCTCGATCCTGCCCAGCTGGCTGCATGCCGAGGACTACATGAGCTCTGGATAGGAGACGTGGTACAGTCTTGGCGTTTGTCAGCCTCTTGGGTGTCAGTTTCCGTCTTCTTCCTCGGAATCTTCAGGAAAGTTGACACTTCCCTGAGCACCTGCCGTGTGTCCAGTATGGTGGGAAATGAAGACCGATGGCAGTATTATTTTTCCGTTGTATAGCTTAGACACCGGGCCGCAAGGTTGAGTCCATTGTCCAGTCAAAGCTAACTCTCCATTTTTCTTAGGCGATTTGGGAGTCAATACAGTAAGCTGAAGTTTCTTAGATGTGCTTTTTTCATAGCCCTAGGCGTCCACTTACAGGACAAGCAGATCATACAAGGGACTTTGAGGAGCCAGTCTCTTTGCTTCTCAGCTTCATAAGGACTTAAGGGTGGCCACTAGATTAGTAGCCAAAGGAAATTCTTCCTTTCAAGAAAGAATGCAGCAGGAGCTCATATGCCCTCCTCCCACCCACCTTGTCTTTTTTTTTTCTTTTTTTTTTTTCTTTTTTGACAGGCAGAGTGGACAGTGAGAGAGAGACAGAGAGAAAGGTCTTCCTTTTGCCGTTGGTTCACCCTCCAATGGCCGCCACGGCTGGCGCGCTGCGGCCGGTGCATCGCGCTGATCCGATAGCAGGAGCCAGGTGCTTCGCCTGGTCTCCCATGGGGTTCAGGGCCCAAGCACTTGGGCCATCCTCCACTGCCTTCCTGGGCCACAGCGGAGAGCTGGCCTGGAAGAGGGGCAACCAGGAAAGAATCCGGTGCCCCGACCGGGACTAGAACCCGGTGTGCCGGCGCCGCTAGGTGGAGGATTAACCTAGTGAGCTGCGGCGCCGGCCCCACTTTGTGTTTAATACTGGACACCTAACATAGCTGTACCCTCCCAACTGCTTTTTTTTAAAGATTTTATTTATTTATTTATTTTTTTTTTTGACAGGCAGAGTGGACAGTGAGAGAGACAGAAAGGTCTTCCTTTTGCCGTTGGTTCACACTCCAATGGCCGCCGCGGCCGGCGCACTGCGGCTGGCGCACCGCGCTGATCTGATGGCAGGAGCCAGGAGCCAGGTGCTTTTCCTGGTCTCCCATGGGGTGCAGGGCCCAAGCACTTGGGCCATCCTCCACTGCACTCCCTGGCCACAGCAGAGGGCTGGCCTGGAAGAGGGGCAACCGGGACAGAATCCGGCGCCCCAACCGGGACTAGAACCCGGTGTGCCGGCGCCGCTAGGCGGAGGATTAGCCTGGTGAGCCGCGGTGCCGGCCAAGATTTTATTTATTTGAAAGGCAGAGTTACAGAGAGAGAGAGGTATCCCGTCTGCTGGTTCACTCTTCAGATGACCACAGAGGCCAGGACTGGACCAGGCTGAAGCCAAGAGCTTCATCCAGGTCTCACACATGGGTGCAGGCACCCAGGCACTTGGGCCATCTGCTGCTGCTTTCCCAGGCCATAGCAGAGAGCTGGATTGGAAGTGGAGCAGCCAGGTCTCAAACCAGTGCCCATATAGGACGCTGGTGCTGCAGGCGGTTGCTTAACCCACTACACCACAACGCCGGGCCCCCCAGCTGCTTAGCTTGAAATAAAAGTGAAGTCCCTTTTATTTCTAGTTGTGAAATGACCACAGTTCACTGTTACGCAGGTTTTCTGTGGCAGCCTTTGCTCTTTGTCTACCAGTAATCCTGTCACCAACAGTGGTCTGTCTGCCTTGATTCCTTCCGGAGAGATGAAAATAGGAATAATGAAACAAAGTTTATTAAAATACATGCCAAAAGAGGAACAGGCCAGTTGCAAAGAAACATGGCACACTTTCTTCCTGGTTTGGGGCTTTTATCCCACAAGTATGAGGGATGTTGGCTGGCAGTGTGGCCATGATGATCATGATTGGCATTTTTGATTGACATCTGGGAGTTGTATACCTTGGGGTTCTCTGCACATGTGGCTATAAACTAAACTGGTCTGGTTGAGCTCGCATTTTATCAGGATACTTAAACTGCAAAGTGGGCAGTTTTGTGTGGCCCCACACAGAGCACAGGGTCCTTTGTTCCACCCCTGGTGGAGGGTCTAATAGGCATTCCACCAATCACTCATATCTAACCCTCTGCCTGACAATTCTTTTTTTTTTTTTTTTTTTAACAGGCAGAGTGGACAGTGAGAGAGAGAGACAGAGAGAAAGGTCTTCCTTTGCCGTTGGTTCACCCTCCAATGGCCGCCGTGGCCGGCGCGCTGCAGCCGGCGCACCGCGCTGATCTGATGGCAGGAGCCAGGTGCTTTTCCTGGTCTCCCATGGGGTGCAGGGCCCAAGCACCTGGGCCATCCTCCACTGCACTCCCTGGCCACAGCAGAGAGCTGGCCTGGAAGAGGGGCAACCGGGACAGAATCCGGCGCCCCAACCGGGACTAGAACCCGATGTGCCGGCGCCGCTAGGCAGAGGATTAGCCTAGTGAGCCGCGGCGCCGGCATCTGCCTGACAATTCTAATGGGACCTACATTAATTATAACCATAAGAAGCCCTTGCAGCTAGGGGCAGCCATTTGGCACAGTTCTAACCAATGAAGTGGTGTTTGAAGGTTGCTACTGGGTCTTCCTTCCAGAAAAAGTTTTAAATGGATGAGTTCTGTAGACCAGAGCTCATCTTTGCCCTATACCTGTCTTCCTGCTTGAAGAAATACGATGCTGGAGGTACAACAGCCATTGTTCACTCATGAAGCAGCCAAAGAGGACAAAAGCCTATGTGCCAAGGATGACAAGGCAGAAAAGCTTAGAGAGACTGAGTCTTTGATGGCATCATGGTGCCACAACACAAGCCCTAGGTCCTCTACCTTATTACTTCTTGGCTTTTGTCAAGTACCTGTTTGAACCAGTTTCTGCAAATAGCTACCCAGTCCTATCACTCTTGCCCCATAGCATTTGTGATTCAGACTCCCAGTAATCCTTCAGAGTTGATGTGGCCATCTCAGTTGGCACTATAAAATGTATATTATTAATGAAATGTAAGCAAATAATTATTAACATGAAGACTATGCATTTCACACATTAAGTAGGGTCAATATTTAAAGCAGAGTCCATCAAAAGTTCACTAACATACAAAATCATTAAAAGTTGTAATGAACATTCAATAAATTTAAATATATGGGTAAAAATATGATATAGTGTCAAACAAAAGTAATTGTAACTTTACTAGAATTAAGTAGATACCTAAAAATGTTTTTGATGCTATTGAACTTGATCATAATAAATGCAGTTTGTAAGCATCCCATGTATATAGTCCTCTGTATATTGACAGGGTTTGACTTGGAATTTAGGGGAGAAAGACTAATTAGGATTTATGGGCTACAAGATATCAGTTACTGAGCATTCTCCTATGTAAATCACTGTACATGTACCATTTGTTACTAAAAACAGCCACTGATGAGAATTCTTTTTCTTTTCTTTTAATATTTAAAGAGGTGCAGAGAGAGGGAGAGATCTTCCATCCTCTGGTTCACTCCCCAGATGATAGCCTCAATGACCAGGGTTGGGCCAGGCTGAAGCAAGGAGCCAGGAGCTTCATCCAGGTTTCCCATGTCGGTGGCAGGGGACCAAATACTTGGGCCATCTTCCACTGCTTTTCTCAGGCCATTAGCAGGGAGCTGAATTTGAAGTGGGGCGGCTGGGTTGCAAACCAGCACCCATATCCACTGTTCTGCAACACCAGCCCTGATGCAAATTTTGAAGAGAGTACAGTGGTATAGATAATAAAAGGCTTGTGATTGTTAATAATAAGCTTACTTTATAAATATCAGCTCAATACATATAAACCAGTTTAATGATTCAGGAAAATTTCTGTCCCTGGGGTAACTCTTTTTATATTTATAAAAAGAATGTAAAAGAAAAATCTAAAGAAAATTTTTTGTGGGGCCAGCATCATGACACAGTGGGTTAAGGCATTGCCTACAATGCCTGAAATCCAGTATGGATGCTGGTTCGATTCCCTGATGCTCTACTTCTGATCCAGCTCCTTGCTAATGCACCTGGCAAAGCAACAGAAGATGGCCCAAGTGCTTGGGCCCCTACACCCATGTGAGACACCAGGTTATGTGTCTGGCTTCAGCCTGACCCAGCCCAGGCTGTTGCAGCCATTTAGGGAATGAACCAGTGGTGAGAAGATCTCTGAGTCGCCACCTCTCCCTCTAACTCTGCCTTTCAAATAAAATCTTCAAAAACAGAGGAAATTATATGTAAATAATAAAAAATTATTTCCAGTATTTGTGGAATGTTTAATTCTTTGAGGTAAGAGAAAGGATAACTACAAAAACATGTATTTATTCTTGAGTTTCTAGTTTCTTTTACAAATTTGAATAAAGTGCTTGTGACTGAACTTTTCTCGGAAATTTGGAGCCCCTTCCCAGAAGCCAAAATATGTTTGTGATGCTGGGTAGTGTAGATTGATGTTTGTTGTTTGATTTTGACTGCTTTCTTAGAAGCAAGATTTCAGTCAACTGATGATCTTGCAGTTTCAGATTCAA